ACTCATTTTTTGATATTGTTATTCTTGTTATTATTCTTATCAGCTCATTTTATATTGCTGTCTTGTTTTTTGTTTTTTTTTGTTAAGGTTTTCTGCTATGAGGTTCTGTACACTTGATTCATGTCATCGCTGAATCGCCAGCTAAATTTTCCTTTTCATCTTCCTGAAGGCTTTAGTTTGTGTATTTTTTTTGTTCGATCACAAATGTCTGAGTTTGCACTTCGCATTCAACAATTTTACATTCGGATTTGTCGTAATCCTATTGTATAAAACATTTGTGCCTGTTCGATAATCTTGGTGTCTTATGTGATCTGATGAATGATCTGATTTATTAAACGTCTTTTTTACAAATTGTACCTTCGTTTCTCGATTCTGTGATCTAGTTTTCCGACCAATTGCAAAGGTCTTCTGATTGTTACGGGTTTTTTCATTTGAATGCAGCAACAATGTTTCGCATTCCAATTTCGAATCGTATTGTGTTATCGTAATTGTGCGTACGATACATTTACATCATGATGTTGTTGTTGTTGTTGTTGTTGCATTTGTTTTGTTTTGTTTCGTGTTGTAGTGAATTAACACTCCGTATGGATCTCGTTTCATGGAAATATATTCTCAGATTTGTTGCAATAAAGTATTGTTCATTACTTTTGTGGCATCCATTTTTCATCCTTATTACTAAATGAATATTCCGAAAATGGACGGTTGTAAATGAATATTTTACGGGTTGATGAGCCACTGAAGTTTTACTTATTGCAGCGATTGTTCGAATGATGAGTTGATTATATTTGCGAACGAGTTTAAGAAATTCTCAAAGCAGTAATTTTGATTGCAGTAGAGGTTTGTCGAGCTTAACTTGGGTTTGGATGATGGTGAAAGTTATGAAATTAATCTAGAAATTTTCGTATAAAGGCTTGAATGGATTGAGGTGATGAGTTTTTGGTACATTGTGGATTTCAGCTGAAAATGGGAAAAACATCAAAGGACAAACGTGACATTTACTATCGTTTAGCTAAAGAAGAAGGTTGGAGGGCACGAAGTGCATTTAAATTGATGCAAATTGATGAGGAATTCAATTTATTCGAAGGTTCACACTTTTCGTTGCGTTTATATTCATTCACATGTAAAGTGCGTTTGTTTAATCTCTTTTATTACGATTCTTCCACAAAAAAGACAAAATAAATCCTA